ATATTTCTGAACTTAAAAGATATGTGAAGGTTATGTATCTACACAAAGAACCCAAGGAATTTGCAAACATCAAGATGATTGTAAAATGGCTTGATGACATCTCAGAAATTGGCCAGACAATACCCTTTACAGGCTCAATGCTGTAGAAGGAGAAAGGTAAATGCCTACAAAAGATTGCTTTGAGAAGAGTGCTCCGGCATCTTAGTTGAAAAGAGTTTCTCAAGGAACTGATTTTGTAAGATTTGTTTCACCACAGTCAGCAATTCAGGCACTCTGAGGCCTCTGCAACCTGGAACCAAGTGTGCCCAGCTATTGCTGTAGCTGACAGTAGACCTTGACATTATCCTCGTGGTTTCTCAAACATACATATATGAGTTATAGCATTGCAGAGGCTGTCACTCAGATTTCAGAAGATCTGGGAGGCCAGGCCATATACTCCTGAGAGAGCAGTATGTAAAGCTGTGGGAGTGATGCTAAAGGTATAGTGGAGACACCAGGAAGTTGGGGGATGACAGGAATGTGGAATGTCTGCCGAGGAAAACCACAGGCAGCAAATGGAGCCCACCCAAAATAGAGGCCATGAGAGCTGCAACACACAAGGCCACAGGGGCAGGGCTGCCAAAGCTCTTTGGAGTTCACATCTCACCACAACTTGCCCCAGGTGCCGGGCATGCAGCAATAGAATTTAATGTTTTCCCTGATGAGTTTTGGTCTTGCTTTGGTCTGTTTTCTATTCCCTTTTCTGCCTTTTGGAATGGAAACATTTACCCTCTGCCATTGTATGATGGAAATATTCAACTTTTTAAAAAAATGTTTCACAGCTAAGCATTGGCTTTAAGTCTCAGAAGAGTCTTTGGACATGGACTTTTCAGCAGTATTGATACTGTTAAATCTTTGGAAACTCTTAGAGATTGACGAAATCATTTTAGATAATGAGATGGGCATGAGCATTTTTCGAGTCAAGGGAGGAATGTTGTGGTTTATATCTAAAATGTCTCACAAAAGTCTTATATTCGAAGATGGGGCCTGGTCAAAGGGGCAAATCATTGGGGCCTGAGTTGGAAGAGTGTAGTCTCATCCTCAGCTCCTTCCCTGTCTCTCTGATTCCTGGCTGCCATGGCATAAACAATTTTTTCTGCTGAGCCTTTCCAACATGCTGTATGTGGGTGGAGCTGGCCAGTCATGTACAGAACTCACTAAAATGGTAAATCAAAATAAACCTCTCCTCTCAGTTCTGTTGTGTCAGGTATTCTGTCCTGACATGTAAGTGACTAATATAACACCTCTCTGAATTCCTCAAGATATGGTTTTTGCATAACCAGGAATAACTACCTGGGGACGCTTCACAGAAATACAGGTTCCTGTGATCCACCCTAGAGTTTATGGATTAGAATCTCTGAAAGTCCAACAACCTGTTTTTTTGTTTTGGTTTTGGTTTTGGTTTTGGTTTTGGGGGTGGGGTACTGGGGATCAAACTCAGGTCCTTGAGCTTGCGAGGTTGGCAGCAGAACCACTGAGCTAAATCCCCAGCTCCCAAGAACCTATTTTTAAAAATATATCTCCTAGGAAATCCTAATGCATTGTGGATTTAGGGATTATTTGTTTGGAACTGCATGGCTTTAGATCCTAGAAGAATGCATGTATCAGTTCTACTTACCAGATACAGTCTCTCTTCCTGCAAGAAAGCATTTGGTAAAGTCAAGACCATGTGTTTACAGCTTTGTGAGTCCTGTCCTTGGTGAGCAAGATTTGGAATCATGAAAGCTAGGCTCATTTTGAGATCCTGTTGAAGTAGTTTCTGAAAGACTGGGTGAACACATTGTAGGTTCAAGGTAGCCAGTGGATTGAAAATGATAGGGATGAAGAGGACTTCAGTTTCTTTTGTTGAACTTCTAACATCACATTTATAATCCCCATTCCATATTAACACCAGTCTCTCTGCAACTTTTGGTGAACCCAATAGAAAATCTATTAACTAATACTAGCTAGTTTTGAGCATTTTTAAGTCGATCTCTCTCTTTCTCTCCCCACCGTCTCTCTCCATTACACACACACACACACACACACACACACACACACACACATTGTGCTTTCTCCCATACCATCATCAAGCCAAGATTCATAGTGTATTTTTCTTAGATATCTCAATAATCTAGAACAAGGATTTTTAATTAATGATTCACTATTAATTTCTGTCAGTTCTGGATATTTCAAATTTTTCTGATGTGTACATTTTTGCTTTCACTCCTCTCCCTCCATTTCTCTTTCTTCCTATCAAATATGTCATAGTTTTGTTCTATTATTTCCTAGCTTATACTTTTACTTTTTCTAATAGCATTACAGCATTTTCTTCATGATCATGGTATCTCCCTTGCCAGGTAAGTATTTTTACAGCATTTTCTTACACTAAGGGAGAATACCTAAATATGAAACAGATGAATAAGTACATCATGGACAACAAAACTTGCAGATATAAGAGAGAAAAAAGCAGAGTATGCATATGTTTGTGGTTGACAAAGCATATCTAAATGCATGGGAGAGGATTAATATGGAACCTGGACCCTACACATGTACAGAAGGGAATTGTCTAGTCGTTACATAAGCAATGGAGAATTCCAGGATGACTCTCAACCTCTTTGGCAGACAAATTACCCTCAACTGGATGATTAGGGTTGAAAACAATTGATGCCAGGTGGGTGAAAGAAAAAGTTGATTCCATTTAATTTACTACTCCATTTATTTCTGGAATGAAACAGACAAATGGATATGTGTCATTGTTTTCCAGTTGTTTGCAAGGCTGTCTGTGGATATTGGTATCAAAAACATTTTCAGTCTTAGTAAGAGCAATCCTTTATACAAGAAATAATGTAGACCGCAGATGAGAACCAGTGCAGAAAGCATTAATATTACAACATTTCAAATACTGAAAAGAAAGGTAAATATGAAAAAAATAATGGTTTCAGAGGATGCCAATCATGAGATCTTATATTAAAGTGAAAAAAATACCACTATTTTGAGTCAGTAATGCTGTTATTCATAAAGCTTTGGTCAATAACCACTTTTCATATAAAGCATTTTATTTTTTCCCTCTGGGAAAGTTTTCATTTTTACATTTGTCATATAATCCATTGATTTGATAGTTGCTTAACTAATTTTCTTCAAAATAGAGTAGGAAGTCCTCTTTGGGCAAATGGTAAACCCATCTTTGGCTGAAACTATTGCCTTCTGCTAAATCATAATGTGGATCCTGACTTTTGACCACTTTTGAAGAGAAACCAAATCAAGACAGAAAAATCTGATATTGCTAAAGAGCACAAAAAATTTCTTGGCAAAGTCAGATGAGAAAATAGAATTTATGAACTCCCAGTGCTGACATTTTTAATCACTGCCTCTGTCCCTTATTTGGAGAACATTATTAGAATTTTTATAAATGTGGAAAATTCTGGTATTTGCTTGCTTTTTCCCATGTCCAAATCAATGGTGAAAAGTGGTGTGCACTAGGAGTCAAAGGTTTAGATTTGTTTTGTTTTGTTTTGTTTTTGTTTTTTTGGTACCAGGGATTGAACTAGGGTCCTTGCGCTTGCAAGGCAGGCAGTGGAACCACTGAGCTAAATCCCCTGCTCTAAAGGTTTAGATTTTTTTTAAAAAAACTTTTCGTAATGGAAGTTTTCCATGAATCTTTTTTCCTCTCAATATTGGGAATCAAACCAAGGGTGCAGCCTTTTCGAATTTTTATTTAAAACAGAGTCTTGCTATGTTGCCCAGGCTAGCCTGGTACTTGTGATTTTCCTTCTTCATTCTCCCAAGTAACTAGGATTACAGGCATACACCACCATACCTGGCTCAATCAGCTTCAAGAATTCCAAACTCATGATCTATTTCATTTCCTTTCTATCCACTGAATTCCTTCCTTCCATATAATTTTGAAGCAAATCCTTCACATCATACCACTTCATTCATAAGTAGCTCAGCACGTCTCTAAAAGATTAGTCTTTCTAAAAAACATAACCATAATATTATCTTATCTAGAGCATTTGGTAATAGTCAACACTCTCCTATATAAAATTAGGGTTTAAAATTCTGTTTCATCAATATATTCATCGTTAAAAGTTTGTTTGAATCAAAATCCAAGTAAATTCCCCTCATTGTAATTCACTACATTTCTTAGGTCTTTAAATTTCTACTTTTCCCCTGCTTCTATTTGCTCTTTTTATCTTTGCAATCTATTTGTTGAAGAACTCAGGTCATTTTTCCTATGGACACAGATTGGATTTTGCTGATTGACACTGTGTGGTATTACTAACACATTCTTCAACTCTCTTTTTAAATTTGTTGTCAAGTGACGACGGTATGAGGAAGACTAGTAGAGAAGAGTACGGAATAAGAGGAATAAGGAGAGAAGGCTCAGGGGGATAGTGACATGGAAAAGATCAAAGTATATAATGTGCATGTACAAATATGTCAAAATGAAAGCCACTGCAGTGGTATGTGGTTAACAAATGCATTTGTTTTATAAACAATTTGGTTCACAAACAGAAGCATTTGGAGAATTTTTGTTTTAAAAATTTTTCAAATATTTGTTTTGCAAACCCCACGTCGGGTGACAGACATGACTGAGGTCTTTTTTCCCATACAAACAAAAAACGTGGCCATCTTTTCCAAAACTGAAGCACCAATGTATTCTGTGTAATGAATATATATTAATATTTAAATACTGAAAGAAATATAGATAAATGTGTACCAAAATCTAACAAAATTGAAAAGATTCAAATGTGGTAACCTTCAGCAATGATACAGTGGTACCTCAGTTTACCAACTTAATTTGTTGCACAATTTTGATTGAGAACAAAATTGGTCATGAACTGAATCAAATTTCCCCATAAGGTTCAATGTAAATAAGATTAATCTGTTCTGAACCTTATGTATTTTTTAACCACAAAAAAAAATGTAGAGCAAAGTACAGTACAGTACAATGTAGTGTGAAAAGAGAAAACACTAACCCTGCTTGAGGCGACTTCTGGCTTGGAGGACAGGAAGGTGGGTGAGCAGGAGGTCATTGTTTGGAAGGTGAGTCCTCCTCCATAAGGACATCCAAGAGATTGTCAGTGGTTTCCTCTCCTCTTTGTCTCAACTGCCTGAAAGGTGCCTTCTTCTGATGGACAATGCCCTGGCACACCCTCCAGCCTTGGTGGATGATATGGTCACGGAGTATGATGAAAAAATCTAATGTCACTTGTTTTCTCCTGCATTACATAACCATCTGGAAATGAGAGACCACATTATCATTAATCAGATTCGACACTGTTCATTACAGTTATGTTGGAGTGTTGCTCCTCACAGAAACCCCAGCATTTATTCCATTTTTCCATAATTTTGTTTGTTTGTTTTAGGTTTTTGAGACAAAGTCTTGCTATGTAGTTCTGGCTGGTCTCAAACTTACTATGTAGCTGGGGCTGGCCTTGAACTCATACTGAGTACTGGGTTGCAGGTGTATGCCACCACATCTGGATTCTACAATGTATTTTACCACATCATTGCTAACCTCCTCCCTGTGTTTCTCCTCCTTAGTGGAATGCTCCACAGATGCCTTGTGCTGCTCACTCTGGAGTTCGACAAGTTCTTTCGTCATCAGTTCCTCTGAATGGTCCTCACCAAGCTCCTCTATGTCTGCCCCATGAATGCTCAGACCCAAACTCTAGTCCACAGACACAATCTCCTCCACTACCTAGGCAGCAAACCCTTCAGAGTCCTGTTCAGTGACACATTCCAGCCAGTTTCCTCCAGGCTATTTAAAATCCAGTATGTGACATCTACCTAGGCTTTGTCAATGAGGTTGATGCAGTGGACAGCATTGAAATGTTTTTTCCAGAACTCATTCAGAGTCAAGGACATCTCTTCAGAGGCATTAAAACACCTGGAGAAGAGAGCCTTTGTGTACAGCTTCTTGAAGTTGCAGATCTCTTGCTGGTGCATGGGCTGCAGAAGAAGCGTCACACTGGGGGGAAGGAACTTGACCTTTATGAAGTCATATTTAGTGTCCATATCATCCACCAAGGCTGGAGCATGTGCCAGAGCACTGTTCAGACAGGTGGCTGTCAGAAAGATATGTCTTAACAGCTGTGTGAACACCTTGTACAGCCATTCCATGAACAACTGCCTTGTAACCCAAGCCTTTGCTTTGGCCCTCCACATGACAGGCAGTTTGGCTTTGTTCACATTCTATTCCTTGAATACTTGAGGGGTCCAGGAATGGTGAATCAGTATTGGCTTAATCTTCAGAATGGTGCTAGTGTTTGCACCCAGAAAAAAAAAATCATTGTGTGTCCTTCATGGGCTTTTGCCCCCGCAGTTCCTTTCTGTTTACTATTTTCATCTGGAAGAGCCTGCTTCACTGCAGTTGAACAATTGTTGAGCAATGTACCCTTATGGCTTCATGAATTCTGTGAGTTCTTTCTTTTTTTGGTACCGGGGATTGAACTCAGGACCTTGCCCTTGTGAGGCAGGCAGCGGAACCACTGAGCTAAATCCCCAGACCCCATGAGTTCTTTCTTGTAGGCTTCAGCAGTGGCCTTGTCAGAGCTGTAAGCCTCACCGTGTCTTATCTCACTGTGGATGCCATTTTTCTTGTGGAATTTGTCAAACCACCCTCTACTGGCTTTACATTCACTACTTGTTGCTCTTGTAGGGGGTTTTCTTGCGGTAAATCACTGTGCAATTTCTCAGCTTTTTCATAGATCATAGTTTCACTAATTCTATCACCTGCTTGCTGCTTCTCACCCAGCCACACCAACAAAAGCTTTTCTACCTCTTCTCTCATTTGTGTCTCCTGCTTGATTAGCATCAGTACTCCTTTTGCCACATCAGCTCCTTTGATGGCATCTTTATTCTTTTATTTTATTTTATTTTATTTTTGAGACAAGGTGGCCTTGAACCGATGGTAATCCTCCTTCCTCAGCCTCCCATGTGCTGGGATTACAGGCCTTTGCTATCTTGTACTCTGAGGCCAGATCCATCACACAAACACCACGTTCATGCTTTGCTACAATTTCCTTTTTCAATTCAATTATTTTCCTCAAAACCTTCTTCCTACCATTCTTGCTGTGCCCCTTCTTAGCACCTTCATTGCCATCCCACACTTTCCTTTTACCACCACGCTTTCTTTGGAGCCATGCCGGATTGAATCCTACTGGACAGTACTGTGAGTGCTAAAAAGAACTCAAATGCTTCACAGAAAGAGTGCACAGGCCTGCCTGCAACCACAATCTTGACTACAGGGAGCCACCACCATGTGTCAGAGCAGGGAAGACAGCTACGTTCATGTTTGTCACTCAGTGTTGGCTTCTCAAATGGAAGCAAAATGTTGCCAAATGCTTCATTTGTGAAAGAAATTATTCATGAACGGATGTGTTCATGAACCAAGGTATTACTGTACTTGACAGATGTGTCATGTTTTTATTTGAGGCACTAAATGGCTGTTTATCTCTTATTTTATCATGTAGGCATATGTATTCATTCATTAAGTAGTGAAAAATCATGATATTGTAACTCCATTACTCTTCTACTTATTAACCAGAATAAAAAGAAAGCTAGCCCCCCAGGAATAAGGTTCATAAAGCAAAAACAAGATCAGTGTTTACCTACTTTTTTATTTTCAATTTTCAAAATAAGTTGGGTTGGGCTGGGGATGCTCAGTGGCATCATGCCTGTCTTGCAAGTGCAAGGCACAGAGTTTGATCCTTAGTACCAAAAACAAAATAAGCTAGGTTACTATAGTGACCTACAATGTTCACTAACTAGTTGTTTTTTAGTAATGTTAAGAATGTATAGACTTAAATATACTTTTTGTGCCTCAACCTATTAGAATTGTTTTCTTTTATCCATGTTCAAATCATCTCATCTTGAGCCAAGCATGATAGCACATGCCTTGTAATCCTAGCACTCTGAGAGGCTGAGGCAGGAGAACTAATTACAAGTTTGAGCTCAGCCTGGACAACTTAGCAACTTAGGAAATCTTGTCTCAAAATAAAAATAGAGGGCCAGAGATGTAGCTCAGTGGTGCTATGCCTGCCTCGGCAAGCACAAGGCCTTGAGTTTGATCCCTGGTACCAAAATTAACTTTAAAATAAATAAAAAATAAAAATTAAAAAATAGAAAGGGCTAGGGATGTAGCTTAGTGTGAAGGCTGTGGGTTTAGGTACCCAGTATGTGGAAATAAACCAAAACACATCTTTTTCTTGAGCCAGCAGGAAACATTTCAAGTTGGCGACTAGATCCTTCTAACACAATCCTCTTAGGGCTTCATGGTTTATTCTGATATGTCAAGATGTCCCAAACATACCATGTATATTTCTCATTCTGGATGAGAACCAGCCATTTCCCCAAGGACCTCTGATTCCTTTTCATGGGAACTAGTATTTAGAGATCACAAACTAATTTGGTCGCTGTTTTAGGTTTTTATTTTGTTTTGTTTTTAAATTTTTTTCATTTTTTTTGAATCAGAATCTCGCTCTGTAATTCAGGCTGGCCTTAAACTCCCTATGTAGCCCAGGCTGGTCTTGCATTCACAGTGATCGTCCTGCCTCGGCCTCCTGAGTGTAGGGATTACAGGCATGCTCCACCATGCCTGGCTGCTTTTAGGTTTTTTTAATTAGACAGACAGGAAATGTTATTGAAATAAAGCATTACTAACTCATATTGATACTTTAAATTCAAATTCATGACTACAGAGAAGGAGAACCTATAGAATGTATGTGAAGACATTTACACACATAGATACATACATACAATTATTAGAAGGAATTGATTTACATGACCATGGCCCTGACAAGTCACAATATCTGAAGATCAAGTCAGCAAACTAGGTCCCTGGGAGAGTCAGTGGTATAGCTCCAGTCCATCAGGAGGAAGAGTGATGATGATGTCCTAGTACAAAAGCTGTCAGGCAGGAAGAATTCTCCCTTGCTTCTTTGCCAGGGGAGGCTCATTCTTTTTATTCTACTAAATCCTTTGCCTGATTGGGTTAAGTCTCCCCCACATTAAGGACGATGATCTGCTTGACTCAGTCTACCAATTTAAACGTGTCACAAGAATACCTGAAAATAATGTTTGATAAATATCTGTTTAACCATCAAAATTAACCATCAAAACCATTCTGCGGTCTTTACTTATGTTACAGATGTTCAGAATCCCAGTTCCCAACAGTATCAAGTATAGCATCAAAGTATCACAGAATAGTCAGTTACTGTGTCCAATGATACATATCTAATAGCTTTGGAGTAATAATACCAACACTGTCTCTAATGATATAACTATTAAGTGCTTTGCAAATCTTGTTGTTCCTAAGATATATCATTAATACATAAAATAGTACTGTCTTATGAAATCATTTGAATTTTTCCTATTTGTATGACTACCAATTAGACACATTTTTCACTTTTCTATTTTTATTTTAAGATGTTTTATTTATTAAGAAAATATTTTTAAGCTGGGCATGGTGGTGCATGCCTGTAATCCCAGGACTCGGGAGGCTGAGGCAGGAGGATCACTATGAGTTTGAGACCAGCCTGGACTACATAGTGAGTTCCAGGTCAGTCTCAACTA